AACATTCTTCCCTAAATTCAGAAATCTAATCCCAGAGTTCCCACACCTGCCTTAATCACAACAGGTCCCAATTCTACTGGGAGAGGGAGGAAGGAACTCAGTTGAACTGGCAGCCCAGTATGTGATCTCCTGTCACAGCCTGAGGAACAGTGAGTCTGTCCCACAATAATGCTCAATATGTTTACATTTTTCACACCTGAAGAAGGCTCCACTGCCGAAACGTTGTGTTCTCTTTCTTCTTTTTCAGCATGGAATAAACCTATTACTTGTTCCTTTGCAGCCTATGCATGCTGACGCAGCTACCCACCTGAACTACTAATGTTTACAGTATATGTGAATATTTTATGATATGTCTTTGTTGTAAATGTCTGTAGATTTTATTTTACTTTTATTTTGTTTCGTGTTAATTTTATTATTTTTTCTTGCATTCGCAACACTTCGGTCATGCTAATATAGCACCTTGAGTTGTAATTGTTGTAATTGTAATTGTGTGAGAGGTGAGTGAGTGTGTGTGTGACAGTGTTTGTGAGTGAGAGTAGTGTGTGAGAGGTGATCTAGAGTGTGTGTGAGAGTAGTGCGTGTGAGTGTTGGAGGTGAGTGAGAGTCTGTGCGACAGTGTGTGTGTGAATGAGAGTAGTGTGCGACAGTGTGTGTGAGTGTGAGTGTGTGAGTCTGTGAGTGTGTGTGAGAGGTGAGTGAGAATGTGTGTGAGAGGTGAGTGAGCGTGTGTGTGTGAGAGTAGTGTGTGAGAGTGTGTGAGCGTGTGTGTGAGTGGTGGGTGAGAGAGTGTGAGTGTGAGAGTAGTGTGTGAGACTGTGTGTGAGAGGTGAGTGAGAGTGTGTACGTCAGTGTGTGTGAGTGAGAGTGTGTGTGAGAGGTGAGTGAGAGTGTGTGTGAGTGTGTGTGAGTGAGAGTGTGTGTGAGTGTGGGAGGTGAGTGACTGACAGCTCCTATCAGAGCCCTCATGATTCAGTGCTGCAGGCTCAGTCTGGCAGGAGTGCTTCCTCTCTCCTGTGCTCACGGTGTGAATCGTGCTGCTCCACAGCGCCTCCTGCCCTCCCAGCAACAGCACTGCACCCGGGTGCCTGCAGGATGGAGAGCCCAGAAGCACAGCAGTGACTGCATCTGCATGTCCCTCTGCTGTGCCTGAGCACTTTCCTGGGGAGCAAGACAAGCCAGAGCCCCATCCTGGAGGCTCCCGACTGCCCAGCCCCCCCAGGGGCCAGACAGACTCATCAGCCAGAGAGCAGGCACAAAGCCTGGTGCCGCCTGCACAAACCAGGCAAGGCAGTGCAGCAGCACGCACAGCCCCACTGTGTTTTATGGAACTGCTGCAGTACAAAACCGCTCGTGATGTTGAGCAGCTGAGTGCTGAAGGGCTCCGCACTCCTGGGCGCAAGCTGCCCTCTGGTGGTTGGAGTCAGTCACTTACAACCTCCTCCGTTCAGTGATTTTGAGAAAGAGCCGTTTGAGAATAAAGTTTATGGACATACTGAGCAACTGTGGCTACAATTAATGTTATATCCAGTAGTGGCTGTAGTAGCAGCAGTGGAGTTACAACCTGTAAATGAACATAAGCTGTTGTGTTTAATAAATCTGACAGTAGGTCATTGACAGAATGCCTGACCGCGGGCCAGGAAACGAGGGAAGAGGGGGCAGAGTGGGTGGATCTGTCCTGGACAGAGACACCGAGAACAGAGACAAGGACAACAGGAACACAGTGAACACAGTGAATACAGGCTGGGATGATGGTGAAGCTCAAACTTTTTATTGGTTCGTTTTAGCAGTTGAATTTGAATGGACACTCATTTGGGTGGAGGCAAGGGCCAGGGGTCAGGCCAGGGTTGGAGGTCAGAGGTCAGAGGACTCAGTTAGTGGTGTGGAAGGCCCCCCTCTGGTGCCACTGCATGTCGCGAATGCGTCTGACGGATTGGATCTGGGGGTGCTGGGCCCCAAACTCCGCACTGTCCTTGTACTCCCCTTTCTCAAACAGGTACTGGTAGCCCCTATAGCCAGGGTACTGGTACCCCACCCAGCTGCGCACAGACAGGAAACAAGAGGGAACAGAAGGTCAGGGACTGAAATCTCAGAACGCTGCACTGGTGTGTTTTACTGTGCAGGACTGGACTTCACACTTATATAGTGCTTTTCTAGACACTCCACTCAAGCACTTTACAGGTAATGGGGATCCCCCCCACCACCACTAGTGTGCAGCCCCACCTGGATGATGTGATGGCAGCCAGAGTGCGTCAGAACACTCCCCACACATCAGTTCAGAGATGGGGATTATTAGGAGGCCATGACTGGTAAAGGCCAGGGGGAAATTTGTCCAGGACACCGGGGTGACACCTCTACTCTTTTTGAGAAACGCCCTGAGATTTTTAATGACCACAGAGAGTCAGGACCTCAGTTTTACGTCTCATCCAAAGGACGGCACCTTCTT